GATGATCTTTACTTTGTCTGTTTAAATTTATCTATATGAACAATCCAAACAAAATTATTGTTTTCTGGCACTGCTTGTTTTTCTCATTTGCCATTTGGGTTTAAACTGAATGACAATGTAGAAACATTGTGTATAACTATCTGTTAAAAAGTAATAAAAATTATCTTATAATAAAAATGTTTGATAACCACATAGTTTCTTAGACTTACTACTATTGAATACGACATCATAGGTAAGACAATTAGACTGCCGTTTTCATAAGAGTTTACAAAATGTAACTAGTGTTTCAATAAACGATATTTTATGTATAAACACTAAAGAGACAACAGTTTGCATGTACCAATCTGATCACTTTATTAATAGATATGCACAAAAGAACTGATTTGTATTGTTGATCAAGGGATTTGTTTAAATCTCTCTTATCATCCTATTTTCTTTGAATATTTATAATTTCATGAGACAACTGTTTACAAAATAGTAACGTATAATTTACACTGTCATTCAGTTGAAATACCACAAATTAATGTGTGACGAATAGAAAATTAAAATCCGTAAACATTCGATTTCGGTCTAAAATGTTATTGGTAAACCGTAGAAGTAGTACCTTACAATAACTTTGTTGATCCTTTGAAAGTTGAACCTGTTCTGTCATGAAAACCTCAACTTATCAACTACAGATTTACATAGAATATATTATTTCTGTTTCATAGAGCGAATAATACTAACCTAATATATAACTCAGTCTATTAGTTACCAATAACCTAAAGTCTATTCCTAAACAACTGCCTTAATTGCAGCTAGGTGGGATTCCTTTGAACAGTGTAATCTGGTGGATTGTTATGAAATTGGTATAGGTGAAATACTGGTCATTCGAAATCAAACTGTCTTGCTTGGTCGCATACAAATTTCTCTTGGATGATATTATTTTGCCTCATATAATTCCAGACGTAGTTATGCCAACATGGTAGGTTGTTGTGATGCATTTCGGTTACTCAGGTGGACTTGAAGCGGAACTGCCTGTAGATAAGTCAGATGAGTCCAAATTAGCATAAGACTATACTAAAGCTTTTGTTTTGAACTCGTACAAGACAAGAAAATACAGATAGTGCTGCCAACTTACCTACTAAAACAAGATATTCATCACACTTTCAACTGGTGTCAGTGGCAACACAAAATTCATCTTAAGAGATATGAAAGGTACAAGAACAATACTTTATGAGACAACGAGAAAGAACCAAATTCTTTGAAGATAAAAATTAGGAAGAAGATAAAATCTATATAAAGTCAGTGGTTAGCTATTAATAATCAGCTCCTATGATAGGAACAAACAGAAATATGGACCTTAAACCTAGTAGTAGAGAAAGGTTGAAAAAACAAACTTTAGTAATTTCGTTGAATAACAAGAAAATACAAGTTGTATACTGTCTTCTGGATAATAAGTAAAACACTTGATTTCAGTATGTGTAATACTCTAAAAATATCTATTAAAGTTATTTTGGAAAAGTTCACTAAACTGCAACAAACAGCTCTTACTCACTGATCGTGAATAACAGTTCATTATCATGAGCTAAGTAAAATTTCCTGAAGTTGAAATGAGAAGCTTAGGGACACTCACTATTGACAGTAAATTGCGTCAGTGCTGTATGCCTAATTAACAGTAGCTGAAATAGTAGCATGCTCCTTTTAAGACTTGAAAACACTTACCTACTTCCAAGGAGTCCTAGACTCAGATAAAACAACGATTAGGTTCTTTGTAGTGCTACTTTTCTCTAGCTGACATGGATATGTGATGAAAGCCACTTATAACTGATTCAATTCAGTTGATCGAGAGTGAACGCAATTTTACCATTTGCCCACCTTAGTTATGATCTATGATCATGAAATTGAGCAGAAGTGCTAGTTTATTTTCTGAATTGTAAGTGAACAACATCCATAATCACAAGTATAGTTGGATCAGTAGTTTGAAAATTGAAGAATACATCAGTTTAAATGATATTTATTTTAGATAGTCACGCCTAATCCTCGCCTATCTTTGATAAACATACAAACACACCCAAGAAAAGATGTAGTGTAGTAATACCTATAGCCCATCTGCAGATCAATTAAGGTATAAGATTCAGTGTAATCTTCAGTCTGTCGTTAATATGATTGACAAATAAATATAGCAAGAAGAGCTGGGATGCAAAGAATAAACTTATTTCTAGTGGCTTACTGATGCAACAATCAAGATAACAACCTGAGTAAAGTAATCTGAACTTATTTTATTTCATAAATCTACAGCAGGGGTGTACTACTCTTATAACTATTCTAAAATCAACACCAAAAATGTTTGCCTTATTCAGTTTACCGAATCGCATAAATAATAATAGTATATAGTTCACTGTTTGTGATTTCAATCAGCAGAAATCGGAGATGGAACTAAAATGCTGTTACTAGCTTCACTGTTCTACAGAAAATCTTGGATAAAACAGATAAGTAAAATGATGGGCACTATGAATTATAAAGCCACAAGTGAATTAGTACGAATATTAGATACAATACTTAAAATAAAGGTGGATAGGAAAGCAAACCAAACGATGAACAGTGATATTATGATATAATTATAAGAAATCAGAAAAGAATTACAGTTTTATGAAAATTCAACAATATTTTGTGTTTACAAACTTGAAGAGAAAATGTAGCTTATCAGTCATATCTTGTATTTCAAGGCCACATACCACGAAGAATTAAAACCGATACCATTTTGTTCACTTTATTATAGTCACTAATTTTAGCAAAAACCACAAGAATAACAAGAAGTACCAAGAGATTACTGATTAAGGCACTAAAAATGAATACTAGATAAGTTGAATGCAGACAAATCCTGTTTTGATAGACGTAATATTTGAGGGTAACGCTTGAACAAATTAAGATCGTGGTCTATGTCCAAACTATAGTATACTAAAAATATTTTGTAAAAGTAAGGTGATTAAGTTAATACGTGTTACCAGCAATTCCGTGTTTAATTCGCTCAAACTAACGATGTCGTTGTACATGTATCTTCAAAAAATAACCTGAACTCATTAAAGTTTGTACTTCCTTCTTCTGAAACTAGCAAGATAGGTTATGAAAGCTGTTGAATTCTTTGTAAAAACTGTTCACTTAATTTTTTTAAAAACTGTTTTAACTTATTATCTGTTTCAATAAAATGAAGGACAAAATTGAGCCTTCTTTCAATGCATATTCTTCAATAACGGATGTATTGGTAGACATAATCATTGATATTCTCTGTAATTATGAATAATCGAATAACCTTCTATCCAACATTACTTTTCCTATTAGGTCTGTCGCCTTGATATCGTAAAACGCATACTTGAGGATAAATATTTTTGGTCAACGTTAGGTGTTGCAGCTGGTTATCGCGTACAAAATCTGCTAACTGACATGTATATATACATCAAGCGCTAAAACGACTTCCTGTTCCTTGTTTTATTTGACTGTATTCACCAATCTACGTCAATATATGAGGTTGCTGAAAAATCATTTCACTAGTTTCTCAAGTTTTGCTTTGATATTACTGCTTTGTTGGCTGCTACCACTGTAAACATGAGAGTTATTTTGTACTTGTGCATCAGGCCGGAGTCTCAGCAGATAAATAAACACTGACTGAGGTGGGGACATAATAAATTGAATAACCGTCAACATAATGCCATTCCTATCCTAGTTCTCACTTCACATCAGCGTCAAGTACATAAATCTAAGTTTGGTTGAACAAAAAGTCGTCGAAACCGTTTCTTTCTCAAAGAAATATCACAACGTTGATATGCTACAAACACAATGGTGCCAAACATCAGCTGGAAACTTGAAGTACTGTGAAGCCACAATACCCCTAATAAGTGAATGAGAGTAGGGGTCTCGCGCGCGAAATATCAGACGAGGGACGCTCTCATTGTGAACGCTAGTACAGGCTGACGTTAACTGCTAGGAAATTCTTCCTTACGGAAAGATCGTCTTCTTTTCACAGATTGGTCATTTTGACCGAGTGATAGTTGTCTGAGTTGTTCATCTTGAATATAAGTGACAGCTTCTCATTGTAATACACCAAGTACTCAGACGCTTTTTCAACATTTTCACTGACCTGAACAAATATCTATTTAGTCACTCCAGTTAAATATCTGTTCAACCCATAGCTAACTGTGTTAGTTATGGTACAGCGCAGTATCATAGACTCATGGCTTTGTAAACGGTCTGCCTAATAACATTAAAACTCTTCTATAAAATGATTCACTTGAAGAGAAAATTGAGCTGTTCAATAAAATGCACATAAGATACGGAAGAAGTGTAAAACATTGTTCTTACCTGCAACAACTAGAAAGCAATAACAGCTGGGTATAACTTCACTGTGTAGTTATAAGTCCATATTTTTTAACTTGGAGGTTTGTAGGAACTTATTGTTTTCAAGTTGGTATTCACCAGGGACTGACATCAGTTGGTTAGCCATCGAAAACCTGGGACAGCTATATCGTCCCAGTATAGGACTTCTCAGTAGTGTACACTTATGACCTAACCAAGAATCTTGACAAGTTGGGCAAACCAAGTCAGATATGGAAACAAATACTCAACAATGGTATAAGACGAACTTCGTGCTATTTTGCGGTTTGTTGGAAGAAGGAATGTGTAGATCATTGGATTCCGACCAACCGTCTCAGTTGTAGCGTGCTTACCGCAATACTTGTGGTCATGAATTAGTTCCCTGGTAAGGCCATGAGAGTGCAATGCTCAGGACTACCCTACGAAAAAGAAAAAACTCTCCAGTACTCCAAGATCTGCATTGGTTAGCCAACTGATGTCAGTCCGTGGTGAATATCAGCCTCAAACTTCAAATATTTGTAAATTTTACTGAATGAACTTGATGGTTAGTAGTCCTGTCATATACTTCTCATTTTAAGGAGATAGAGTAACGAGCCTATAAGTCATTGTCTAACCTATGAGTAAAATATGTAATGGACACTGTAGGTGTGAATGAAATAGATATGTGCTCAAAAGGAATTCTACTCTCGGCAAGAGGTTAGTTGCATCATTTATCCTTCCAATTCACACAGAGTACAGAATATCTCAGGATTGAATGCAAACAATAAGATATGAGCTATTCGGTAACATCACGTAGTACATGATAACAAACAGAAAGAATTCATTTAGGCATAAAATAGAGGCAGTACGTGTGTAACCAGATGGCAGTATGATGAGGTAAATTTTAGTAATCCAGTGATCACAGGCAGTAGATGGTGCTTTCATATTTTACTAAACACAGTACATGCTTGTCATCAAGCAGACTTGAAAACAATCTGCATCACAAAGATGAGCTACTTCTGAATTTACTAACTTAAAACTGCTTGGCGAAAAATAGTAGTTCACCTGCAAATCAAATGCATCAAAACTTTCAGACAACGCATTTATGACTCCAATTATGACAGGACTGTCAAGAGATACCCCATGCTGTATTTGGCATGAAGTTCTGAAGGTAGACGGGTAAGCACATTTGTTAAATCCAGACTGTCTTAACCAGCAGTTCTAGTAATATATTGGAACTAGGTAAATGTTCTCATAAATCGCTCACAGTTCACTATTGCGTTTACAACTCATAGCAACACTGGTGTTGCAAACTTTCCTAAAAGATTGTAGACAGTTAACCTTTTATTTGGGAAGTTATATTCCGAGAATTATTTTCTTTTTCCTTTCTACACACTGATGATTTGGCAAGTTTAATATGTGACGAAAGTGTGACTGTTCTCATACATCACTTAAGACAATCTTCATATATTTTCTGAAAAATGCTGCACCGAATTCCTCAGGTACCTTCTGGTTCGAGAACACCAGACATAATGTAAAATTCCTTACTTGTAACGGTAATCCCTAAATTCTCTTTACGAACGAAAATGAGAAGTACACTTTATTGCTTTTCCCAGATGGGATTAAAACAAAAATAATTTGGCCTATATTCATGAGCAGACTTGAGAAAGTTATGATACCCACTCTCAGACTTCAGGCAATTTAGGTCAGATATTCTCTTGTTATAAAATTCTTACAAACTGAATTCTGCTTTATTAAAATATGGTGGGTTAAACCTGGAATTTCGTTGCACCTAATTTTTAAGTTTCTTTATTCCCTAAATGATTTTGACACAATTACTTTAAGATTTTTAATTCTTCAGTCTACTCAAGTAGCCTTTACGAACATACCTTTGTTTAGAATTGTTTCTTCTCTACTTCTGTCAGTTGACTAAAGAACAGGTATACTTGCAGAACCATTACATTCTGTTACATCATTCTTTGCTTCATTTAAACCATTCAGTATGGTTCATTTTGAAGGTTAATGAGGATTTATTGATTTCAACTTGGTAGGCATTATAACTGACAGTCAGTGCTCCCAAGTTGTCCAAATGATGTCAGTTCATGATGAAAACCAAATTGTTGTTCACCACAGATTTATGCATCCGAAAAAAGCATGAGATGAACATTTTTTTAGTATTCAAGTCTCCCGACCAATGGACTTCAAGCTGCTTATACTATGCAGCTAGCAAATAACCCTTATCAGAAAACTTGAAAGTTTAGTATAATACATTCTAAAGGAACCTTTGAAATATCTATAGACATTCTTAAGAGGTAAGGGGAGAAGCTGTAGATAAGAGTGGAGGTCAATGAACTTAACAGAAAGTCTGTATCCATTCAACTAGATTTTGGTGGTGGTCAGACCTTTTCGACAAGATAAACAAGAGATTGAGTTAAATAGTCGATGGAACACTCCAAGATCAAATATTTGTTCTTATAGTAGTAAAGATAAAGTTTAACTGGTACTCATTCAACAACACTTCAAACTATAAGTACCAACTTAAACGCATATATGTCAAAGCGGGTACGTCGGAAAGACTAGAAGACTGTCTTTTACTCAGTTCAGCTGCATGCATCTCGGAAAGTAAAATCTTAAATGATCTGAAGTATGAACATATACATACAATGATATCCGCTATAAGCTAATTACGAAATTACCATCGTAGATGCTCTTAGTGTAATCGATTAACAGAATTTGAGTTTACGAATATCTTCCAGTTGCGACTGAAAAACAATAATCAACCTTCAACTCTCTTGTCAGTTCTTTAAACAACATTTTCTTGTCTAACCAATTCTTGTAGTAAAACCATCTTAATGTTGTCAACATTTCAACTAGGCTAACTGATATTGAACCCTTACAAATTACTGACATCTTATTAACTAGTTTCTTAGGGGATCCTGAACCTTAGCTATTATGCTTCGACTACTCATCACTATGACTAATTTTTCTGTAGCATGATTTTTATCTGTAGCGCTAGCATGTCTGCATCATTTGTCTCTATCCTCGCATTGGTTTCTTCCTCACAATATCATAATACACTTCTTCGTCTAAAAAAATCGAGCAAAAGATTCAGCACTACTGTGACCTTTAGTTGTATAGCACTGCAGCTGTTTTCTTATGTACGAATTGCATAATTATATGGTATTTTTCATCATCTAACACTCTATACAGTTGATTTATTATCTGATCCTAGAACAAAAGTCACATACATACTGGTTTTCAGTCGTATTACTCATGCCCAGCTTTCTTCAGTAATTGTATGCCTTAGTTCCGGATATGCAAAGTTTGGCAGTGTAACAAACAATCATCATCAACCTTTAAGTACCCGTACTCACCTACGCCTAGACACTGAGGTTTTGGTGTCCAGTAATGAGAGAATGAGTAAGTGCGCCATTCAGAAGTCTTAAATTATAAGGATACCGTCATCAAGAGGAACACGTCTACGAATATGCAGCTCTTTAGTTACCTACAGCAATATATCTATAACGCCTTGATGCATTTTCGAAGTCCGCATATTCACTGTATTCAAAAACAAAGCAAACGAATGTAACGAGTAGTTTAATTTGTCATTACAAGTAAACAATATAGTTAAGTCTCAATATCTTAATCAGAGTAGTCCTTATCCTAATTGACTACCCTTTCACAATATAGAAAAACAGAACCAAGGTGTGAGACTTTAACACCACACACAGGATCAGGATGAATAAAGGTGACACCAGCTGGCCAATCGCATGGTGGATATAAATCCGTCAATTCATCACTATCATCCAACGATGTATTCGGACCAGTGGATTTATAGTATAACATTGGTGCATCTTCATTTCCATAGAATATTGGCGTTATCAAAGGTTCTTTCGAGTTATACATTTGACGACTATCAATTTCGTTCAGAGCATCCCCAATTGAGCCATTATGGTAATCTACAATGTCATTATCATCTGTATCAGATGACTCATTATTAGTGTTCATGTGATTCTCAGGTTCTTCATTAAATGGACTACTTGAAGAAATATTCGGTACTGAGCCAGTACTTCCATACGATGTCATAGTTCTGTGCACATCGTTTCTATTCTCTGCTAAATCTCGTTGAAGAGGATCATTCTCTTGTTGGTTATCACCTTCACTAAAATCATCCTGTTGTGTCCAAATAATGGAACCAAGTGATCCACGTCTAGATGAGGCATTGTCTAATGAGATCATGGACAGCGTACCGAGTGGACGCACGCCAACCAACTTTCGATCATCATCATTGCATGCTTTCAATAGTAGTGTACGTAATTTAATAAAATCATCATTATCCGTAACTTGTAAACATTCATAAGCACGTTTCTGTCCATTTGCACCGTTTATGCCCAATATGAGCACATTTTTTAAGTCTTGTACTAAAAAGATAGCTTCAATTTGTCGATATGATAAAAGTATACGATCATAATTATTTGTTAACTTTTTATAAGCTTTCATACGTAACCCACTTTCAGTAGCATAGATCATACGTTCTTGTGGTTGAGTGTTGCGCATTTTTATAATCAACTTCTCTATATCAGATTGATTAAATGATTTATTAGATTTTAATTTCTTCTGAAGTAATAATTTTGCACGACATTTGAGAAATATCATCTCCTTTATGTCAGCATCAGATTCATTCAATGTAGGCACTGATCCACTCAGTGAATTTTTGATAATGGATTTACGTGACATCACTTTGAGCTATTCAGTGTCAGAGTAGTAGTCGTCACTCGTATGCCTGCCTGTATGTATGCAGTCGAATGAATACGTTACAAATGCTTGCTTATATTTATGTGTACGGATGGTGAAAATGGCGACGGTTATACACGAAATATTATTTTTATGGTCTTTTCAATGTGTTATTTTTAAATCTCACAATATCAGAAATATCCGACCAATGGTGATACTTCCAGATAAGTAGTGAAAATATGCGAAAAACGCGGCAACAGTAGTTGTGATATATTAAATATTATTATCATTACAGTACTAAATTCTTCATATGTACTTTCTTACAATTTTTCTTGTAGTGATATGAATTCTTTTATTTCACTCTATCACATAGTGGTGAGGAAGTGACATTGAAGTTACTGATATTGAAATCGTTCTGCCTCTACTCATATGTGTACGTGTATGTGTCTTCCACCATCTGTCCGCCTATCCTTCACACGACAGTGTGCACTCATACATATATAAACACTTTTTATTAGGCAGACATGAACACAATCGCTAGTCATATACAACTCATATTATTCATGTATGTAATATGAACAGACTGAGGCCAGGAGCTAGCCTTTCTCAACAGTTGTGAATTAATCAATACATCTTTAGGCACCTATTGGCTTTAGCCTTGGTCACAATGTTGGATTTGACCTGTGATTTTATTGATGACTGCTTTCTGTGCTCTATGTCTCTATCCTCTATCATTTTTTTTCTAATTCACAGTCCTGCACACATGAAGGCAGACATAATCGATACGTGAGATAACATATCAAGAAAGTTAAATGCAGTAGACTATGTGGGCAATCGATAATGCATAATCTAGACGTATTCATTAGATAGACGGAATTTATAATATAAACGTTCTGACAGAAACCCATTATATTCACTGAGTAATAATATCATGTTTCTAAAAACGGTTACAGACATGTTTTACAAGTGACATAACATGAAATGTTGATTCACTTTCGATGCAAAAGTGTAAAAATGTAACATGGGAGTAAAAGAAGATAAATGGGTGTTGTGAGTATATTACTGAATGACCTGAATAGACAAGTTTCTCCTTGGGGGGAAGTTAATTCATCTCTATATCTTTGAACGATATGTCAACTACGTAAGAGATGGACAATTTATGTTAAGTCGATTCTTTGAAGCCACCTAAATATCCTGTCAGTATAACTTCTGTTGAATATATTTTTCGGTGAATAAAATCACTTACATTCTGTTAAAGAAGCATTTTTGCCATAAAAATATTCCCTGAGTTTAGAGGAATGAGGCAACTACACAGGTTATAATTCACGAATACCTGAGAAAACTATATTTATAGTACCGTATGAACTCACCAGAAAAAAAAAGTGAAGAGTAACCTATTCGGCTGATAGTTTTCAGCTGTTAGGATATATAATCAAGTAAACGTGATAATCAACTGTATAAATCTTCTTATATTTCGTCTAGAGATAGGTCTTTAGGCGGCAATTTATCTTGTCAAAGTAAACTTGTTTACATACTCCATTTCGAATACATAATGAGGGATTCACTTGCCATGAATAACCTTTAACGATAACAGCTGCAAAGATGAAGTCCTACAAAGACGTTTTCACGAATTGTGCAGATAGGTTCAGAGAACTTTTAATGCTTTTCCACATGCCCAATGGTTACACCGAGTTTGAAAGATGAATTACCTAGACTGGCCACTTCCTGTTGTGTTTAGCAGTTTGACTAGTGTTATGAAGCCAGTTACATTCCCCACTGCTCTGGGGATTTAATTTTCAGTGCTTGCAAACACATGCCAGCGTGGTTAAGTAAAGGTGTGTTGAAGACCAATACCAGCTCCATATAAGCATACTTCGTTGAAACGAATCATAAGGTGGATATAAATGAGTCGTTTTCCATTGTGTCCCGCATTCTCATCAACTTGCCATGAGGTGCTCGACTCAATATTCTTCAAACTGCAAAAGCAATAACAATCTGGATCAAACAACCCTAGCTGTGTGTTCAAAGGACGCAAGCGTTACCTCTACACTTACCGTGGCTCGATTCGGGATAGACAAATTTGATAGCATCCCCCCCACAGACAATCTAATTTCATACTATAGATATCCCTTCTTCTCTATAATCTGAGGTAAATTCGACGAATTCTCTTGTCCTTCTTAGTTTATTTCATTTAGTTGTGATCAACACCTTCCTTTTGTTTTATTAAACTGTCAGTTTATAGTATTACCTAGTCCGTTTCGTCGTGTAGACAATCAGCTATTTAGAGTTGAATTTCAGTAACAGTTGATTCCATCATAAACGTTCACAAACTAATTTTCCCAATTGACTTTTCCAACTGTATACTGTCATTGACAAACTGATAAGCGAAATCTCTGAATTACTGATGCGTAACTCCTCAAAACGTACATGTAACTGTAGAACTGAAGAAGAAGAAGTTATTCAGAAGAGTATTCTTTGTTCACTTGAGTTGTAATAAAAATTTTTAATGAATTGAACAAATAGTATTGCTGTCAGTTTCTGGATTTAAAGTGTAATACACAGTTGCTATGTAACTTCTTGTGAGTGATTTGGTAAAAATTGTATAACTTTATAAATAAAAAACTAAAGCGGATAACCGAGTTGAGTTCACCAGTTATTCTAGAATTCAACTGAAGGCGAATTTTGTTCCCTTTTGACCATCAAGTCTAGTCAGTTTTCACTAGTGTTCACTGAACAATGAACATACGATACAACCGATTTATTAATCAATACAAATAAGCCAATATACATAAAATTATGTAACCAACTGTTTCATGCAACCTCGCCTGGTTAACTAGTTCACTAGTCACTAGCCGGTCCTAAGCCCGAGTAAAGAGGAAAGGTTAGGCATAGGGCTAGCAACCCTACCCCCTAAAACAAATCTAACCGCTAAAGAAATTTCGAAGCACAAACGAAATATAAAAAATAATAACAAAATTATTCCTCGCTGGAATCGGAGAGGCGAAATGATGCCAATTGGTGAAAGCCTTCGGGAAGCCAATTGGCCGATGTGTCTTCTCTCCCTCGATGAAAGCGAAAGTAAACGTGGGGACATGGAATGTCCGCACCATGTTTGAACCCAGCAAGGCAGCCCAGATTGCAAAAAAGATGAGGAGATTTGGTATAGAAGTGCTTGGAATCTGCAGATGGAATGTGAGTGGACTCTCCAAACTATCAACTGGAGAATCAGTAATCTACTCCGGCCATCCAGACGACAACCACGAGCACACTGAGTTTCTCAGTGGCTGTCATAAAGTCCGCGAGAGCATCGAAGGCTCTCATGCAGTGGGAACCAATCTTCTCCAGGATAAGGATCATGACAGCAAGATTCAACTCAAAATTAAGGAAGGTAACAATCATACAATGTTATGCACCTACAAATAATACAGATGAAGAGAAGAAGGAGGAATTCTACAGACAACTGCAATCAACACTGGACAAGACACCGCCTCAGTTGGCGACATCAAAATTCTAATGGGTGACATGAGTGTCAAACTGGAAGCGGAAAGCACAGGAAGAGAACTAACCATGGGTTGAGAAGCGCTTGGTGAGGTGATGAACGAGAATGGAGAACTGTTAACAGAATTCTGTGCATTCAACGATTTGGTGATTGAAGGCAGTGTGTTCAAGCACAAGCATATCCACAAAGCGACATGGATTTCACCAGATGGACATTAGGAACCCAAGGGACAAATAACAGCTGCTTCATGCAATATTAGGCATACTGTGAACACTCATATAAAAAGAAAATACTATTTGAAGCTTATTATTATTGTATTATCATTTAAAACCTCAATTTCAGTAAATAACCACCCACAAGTACTGAAAATAAGTGTCACCATCTCTCTGCATATTACTTCCCAGATTCTTTTGACAGTAACTTAATTATTTTATACCTTGAGGAATATTGTCTAAGAATCATAACAATTTGAGTTCGAGATTATTTAGCTGAAAAACCAACATCACTAGTAGTTAACAACAATAGACTAATGTTACACTACAATATCCCAATGATAGACCATATGATAAAGTAGTGCACCAGTTTTTGATCAAATATTTACTTTCAAACTTTCAAGATTAACTTTAGCACTAGTTAAAATTGGATCTCGAGAATAGGATAACATTAATTTGACTACAGTGATTGTTGACGAAGTCCCAGGTCGGATACAGAAGCCCTGTTTAGCATTTGCTAACATGCATCCTCTGTGATACCAGCTAGCGTGATATTTGACTTTCTATCAAAAAACAAGTGTACTGCTCTGCAGTCCGTTCTATCTTGTTACATGGTTACGAGAAAAAGTAGAAGACTTGAAGCCATTACAGGGTTTTGATCACAACTATCTTCTCAGTATTGCTGGTGTTTGATAGAATAACGCGAGAGCGTTGTTGAAGTCAGGAGAAAGGTAATAGACAAGAAAGCTTAGTCGACTGAGATTGTTTGGATATATGTCTCACGTGTTCAGCCACCGCCTACCTCGATATGCGCGTTAGGCGAAGTTGGATTAGGTTGGAAGAGTGTTCAGGGTAGCCGGGACAAAGCCTGGTACCAGTCGGTGAAGTCTCGAACTGTTGGTCTAAGCCATGTGGGGAGTTGTAGACTGCTTCGTTGGGTTCCCAAGAAGAAATAAATCAGTGTTTGGTGACTCTTGTTGACATGGTTGAAAATCTATCACAATGGTGCAGATGTATTCACTCCTGGACATCCTCTGAAGCATGAATATCCCCACTCTTTACCTATATCTCCAGGCTGTTTACTCTCTCACACAACTTTTTCTGCTTTAATATCACTGTTTTTCTTTCCACCTGTTCTCTGTATACTACTGTGAAATGTGGCAACTTGAGACAATGCACCTGTGTGGGACGTTCTATATTGGTTTTGTTAATCAGTTGGTCAGCTGCTGAAATGACACACCATAACTGAACATTCGTAATCAAATCAAAGGGAAAGTAAAATGCTGAAAAAT